TCTGCCTCCTGAGTGCTGGGATTAAAGGCATGCACCACCACGCCCAGCTGTTTTTGGTGTTTTTAAGAAAGGATCTGCTGGGCTGGAGAGCTGGCTTAGTGGTTAAAAGCACTGACTCCTCTTGCAGAGGACCTGGGTTTGATTCCCAGCACCCACATGGTGGCCACGAACTGTCCTTAACTCCAGTTTCAGGGGACTCCAAAGCCGTCTTCTGACCTCCGTGCCATTGCATGACACAGGTGCACTCACATACATGCAGGCAATATACTCATACATATAAAATAAAATAATAAATAAAATTAAAGAAAAAAGATAGGGTCTCATTCTGTAGCCCTGGCTGCCTTGGAATTTTCTGGGTAGCCTGGGCTGGCCTTGACCTTATGACAGTCCTTCTCAGCCACTCAAATGCTGGGGTTACAGATGAGTCACCACATGTAGCTTTAGTACTTTACATTGTGAACTCTATAAATGTAATATTGCTAGGCTCCATTGTTATCTTATGTGGAGATGTTTCTCTGTATGATACAGATGATACTGCTTTATGTGTAGATGTAGTGGGCTCAGCTGTACAGTCAGCTGAGAGCTAATTGGCAAACTGAATGCTATGAAGCATATGGGTGGCTTTTCTTATCCTGGTGGGTTTGATCAGCCACCTCTGCTGGCCACACATTTACAAAACAGACTTTTATTTTATGCTGAATTATTTTTATTAAATTGATACTGAATTCATTGTTGGGGTTCAAGTACCTTCTCACTTTAAACTTCTTTTCACTTCTCTTTGTGAGTAATTTGTTGTCATTTTTATGTTTACCTTTACTCACCAACATTAAACATATATGTGTTCACTTTATATAAGTAAAATTTATAATCGTGCAGCAAAGATTATACCTCAGACCAGACAGCTTTATTTCCCGAAATTTGGGTGGCTGTTAGACATTAGGGTTGAGCTTTTTACATATTCAAGGGAGTGTATATTTGTTTGCTTATTTATGTACACCTACAACTCCTTCAACAAAGGATTCAAGGCTTTCAGTGGTTTAATGGAGTTTCATCTCTGGTCTGTAAATACCACAATTTGTTAACTGTTAAGTATTAATCCTCTTTGTCTTCTGAGCCCTACCCTGATGCCAGGTACAGAGAGAAATGCCAAATGTTTGTTGAATGATTGAATAAATAATCAGGCTCAAGTCCATAACAGAGCTGTTCCTCCAGAACTTGGCATTATGAAGTTAGCATAGTGGAGTATGCAGGTCAGCCTGCTGTGAAGCCCCTTCATCTCACTCTCTCAGACTCTGAAAGGTGAGTCTATAGAGTATTTTTCAGAGTTTCCATCTGTTCATCTTATGTGGCCCTCATTGACTTCTGCAAGCCCGGCTTAGCTTTGCAGTGCTTGTAGAGGGTCTCTTAGTTCCTGTGAAGGCACCATGGCAGTTTGCTGGAGCACTGTGGGTAGTGTCCTTCTGACTTTGATCCCTAGACCATACTCTACTTAGATTCTCCCTCCTGTGGTAGTTCTCCATCCCTACAAGTCAACTTTGAATGGGTAATTCTTACTGGCTTGGGTCAAGGTAGAATGGTGGTTTTTTGGTTCTGTTTTGTTTTTGAAGGGTTTTTGATTTGTTGTTGAAAGGGGTAATGGAAAATGTGGATATGCTATGTAATTTCTTATCATGAAAATCCAATATATTTCAGACCAGCAGCTCATATAAATCAATCTTGACAGGCCCAGTTGCTGGTGTTTTATTTATGTAATAATGGTATTGGCGTCTACTGCAGCTTTTGCTGCTAATTACTGCATTGGAAAAGGTGTAGACAAAGGCTTTGTGGTTGAGGTTTTCTGACAGAACTGAGACCTTCTGGGCTGATTGTCAACACAACTGTACATAGATTTCAACTTCTTTTATTTACTACTTTGACCAGTTAGAAACATTTTGAGGTTTTTTTTTGTTTGTTTTTTTTTTTTTTTTTTTTTTTTTTTTTTTTTTTTAATGAAGTGTTTAGAAATTTACTGTCATAAAATCAGGCCTGGATTTTATGCAGGTCCATAACCCTAGCACTAGGGAGACTGAGGCCAGACTGGGCTGTGGTGTGAGGTCCAGTCTACAAAACCTGAACAAACAAATAGAAATCTACCAGCACGGCTCCCATTATGCCCAAACTCACGGCTCCCATTATGCCCAAACTCAGTTCTGTTCTAAAGTACCAGGGAATGCTGTTTTAATGGCAAGTACAAAGCTTTATTCTTATTCTTGACATCATTGGGTAAAGGTAACTTTGAACTTCAATTCTTTAATATTTTGTTGTTTTAGGAAGTCTGTAACTTTGCTTATTTGGACTAGTTCTCTGGCATGGATGCAGGGAGGTCAAGGTCACACACGTTAAAACCTCTGATAATGTGTCTGTCTTGCTTTCGTTTTTGTTTTTTTCTTTTTGAGACAGGGTCTCCCTGTAGTCTTAGCTGGCCTGGAACACACTATGTAGACCAGGCTGGCCTGGAACTCACAGAGGTCCGCCTGCCTCTGCCTCTGCCTCTGCGTCTACCTCTGGAGCTCCAGGATTAATATGCACCACCACCCCTGGCCATTTTGTTTAATCTTTGTGACAGGAGTCTCAGTCTCCCTGTTTGTCTTGCCCTTAGCTCAGCTCCTCAGTGTCTGGACCCCAGCTCTGCTTTTCCTCATGAGCCTTCATCAAGTATTCCTTTAGCCATCTCTTTTGGAGGACCTCGAGAGTTGATAGGACATGGTCTCATGTAGCCTGGAACCCACTGTGTAGCCTTGAGGGTGACCTTGAGTTTCTGTTGAACCTCCGGCCTCCTGCTCCCAGGATTATAGGTGTGGGCCACTATGGCAGACCCTGTAGTCATTTCTTCTCTTTTTTGATATAACTTTATTAAGATATAATTCAAATTTTATATAAGTCACCAATTTAAAACATGCAGTATTCTGTCTTTTAATGTGTTCAAGATTCAGGCAGCTATCACCACAATCAGTCTTGGAACATTTATGTCACCCCATAAAGAAACCCTGACTGACTAGCAGTCACTGTCTGTGCACCCTCTCCTTTAGTCCTGGACAACCACTCACCTGTAGTCTGTGTGTGGATTTCTCCACTCTAAATGTTTCACATAAATGGGCTTGAATATGTAGCTATTTTGAACTGTTTTCTTTGAATGAGGGTAATGTTCTCCAATTTCTTCCATGTTGTAGTATTAGCAGCTGGGCATGGTGCTGCATGCCTTTAATCCTAGAGCTTTTGGGAGGCAGAGGCAGGCGGATCTCTGTGAGTTCCAGGCCAGCCTAATCTACATAGAGAGTTCCAAGTCAGCTAGGGCTACTGGGAGACCCTGTTTCAAAAAGAAAGACCAAACAAACAAACAAAAATTGATGTAGTATTAGATATTCTTAGGTGTAAGTGTTGTAACAGAGGCACCTTGGGGCCTGAAGAGATGACTTACTAGCTAAGAGCACTGACTGCTCTTGGAGAGGACCTGGGTTCACTTCCCAGCACCCATATGGCAACTAACAACTGTCTGTAATTCTAGTTCTAGGGTGTTTAATGCTTATGCCCTCTTCTGACCTTGGGCGTTGCACAACACGGGTACACTTAAAGACGTGCAGGCAATACACTCATACAACACATAAAAAATAAAGTAATTTTTTAAAAAAAGAGGCACTTTGCCTAATAACAACATTCCACAACTCTTGATACATAAGGAACAAGTCCCTCAGTTACCCCCAAGCCTCATCTCATGTGAATTTGTACATAACACATTTTTTCTTATTGTTTGTTTGGTTTTTCTTTGTATATCTGCCTTTGTCAGACCACTTCTTTCCTGCCTTGAGCTTTTCCACTGATTTTTTTTTGGGGGGGGTCTTTTTGAGACAGGGTCTCTGTAGCCCCAGCTGATCCAGAACTCACTATGTAGACCAGGCTGACCTCAAACTCACAGAGATCGGCCTGCCTCTGCCTCCCAAGTGCTGGGATTAAAGGCATGTGCCACCACACCTGGCTTAAAGGTTTTTTTAAAAACCACATTTTAAAATCAATTAGTGTGTGTGTGTGTGTGTGTGTGTGTGTGTGTGTTATAGCACACATATGGAGGTCAGAGGAAAACTTGGAAGAGTCAGTTCTCTCTTTCCATGTAGGTCCCGGGGATCAAACCTCAGGTTGTCCAGACTTAGGCATCTTTACCCTGTGAGTCATTGTGCCAGCCCTCCACTGAGTTTTGAGTGAGATGAAGGACCTTAAGTTTATCATTGTTTATTTCATTTTATTAGATATAGACTATTAGTCAGCTGATTATCATTAGTGAACAGCAGTTTTGTTGGTTTATTGATT